CTCTCTCCCCCCCCTCCTCCCCCAAAGAGGAGGAGCAGCCCCGGAGAAGGAAGCAGAAGCTGTGCATGTGAGATTTTGTGAGGGGGGGGGGCTTGTGTTTGCATCTCTTCTGCACAAAGCAGGAACCAACCATTGAGAGAGCTGGGGGGGGGGAGAGGCAAGAGGCAGGAAACAGGAAGCAAAGAGCCATTAAGGGACCTGGGGGAAAAGCAAGCTACGGTGTAGCTGCAGTAGCAGCCCTGGAAAAGGAAGCAGGAGAAGGAAGTTGCTCGTGGGCCAGATCTGAGTCCTGCGGGCTTTATGTTTGTCAACCAATGTACCCCTTCCCCAGCCAATCACTGAAGCAGCTGTAGAACCAGTTTTAAAGAGGTTTTTTTGTTAGTTTTAGTCTTTTGCAAAATGAAGGATGAACAAAAGCAGAAAGTCCACTTGGATCTAAAAGGGAGGAGCAAAACGGAGCTGCTTTAGGGTTCCAGGTCTGTATGCGCGTGTGAGGCAAGTTACAAAGCTGGCTTCAGAGTCTGCATGAAGAACCAGCTTATAGCTTCTGATTTATTTCTGCTTTTTTTCAGCCTGTAGCCTTTGAGAGCTAACACCTGTTTGCATCTGACAAAAATGCATTAAGACGAAAAACCCAATGAATGAAGGTGGCGTCTCTCTGCCTGAATATCCAGTAACCCTCTACAGCTGAGATCCGCAGGGCAAAGGAGTGGGCAGTGGAGGAGAAGGAAGGAAAAGAGTAAAGTGCATCAGCGCAGAGCAATTAATGCTTCCTCTCCTCCTTGCTTCCAGGCTCAGCTCACTGGCATTGCTCCTGCCAATCTCTTACCGCTCACCTTCATTCATCATTACTGGAAAATGTCAAATCCGATGCCAAGCACAGAGAGGGAGACACTCATTCTAGCTGAGCAGCAGGCAGACTGAACTTCAAATGGCTGTTTGCACAAGGAAATGACTCTCCTGCTGGGACTTAATGGGCTGATGGATGGTTCGTTTATGCCCAGACTCATCAAGAAAATCATCAGGAGAAAGGAAGGAAAACGGGAGGGAAAAGGGGGAACTCCCAAAGAGGAGGCAGCAGCTGCAAGCACCTGGCATGGCAGAGAGAGCAGTGGCATGGCACCCATATCTCCCTACACAACAAGGTGGTGACGTTGGGCAGGTAAAATCCTGTTGGTCTGAAAGTTCAAGTGCAGAAGTGAGCGTAAGATGGCATGGGGGAAGTCCCAGGGCTCACAGCAGCCAGTGCATCCCCATGCCATCAAGGCTACGCTGTTGCCTTGGACAGAACTACGTTCCTCAAAGGCACCATCTAGGTTCCAATGCCAGCCCTGTCACCTGACTTTGCATCTGTCAGCTGATCCCAAGGTCCAATCCAGCTCCACCAAGCTCAGTGATGGCTCCAGAGAGGTCCTCGGCCTGAGCAACTTTGTCTCACTGGAGAAGGTTCTGCTTAGCTCTGCCTGTGGAATTTGACCTGTCACTTGACCTGGATTACTCAGCTCACTTCCGACCTTTCTTATCTTCAAGCTGTTGCTTCTGGCGCTTGATCTCTTGCTGGCCTATGTTAACCTGCCGCTTGCCCCCCTGACCTTTCGTTACTCCTTTTCAACTTGACCTTGAGCTACCTGTGACTGTGCTCTTCATCTCTGGCTCTGCTGGGCTGACGTCCGACTCCTTCTTCCCGCCACCGGATCCCGGAAATCCCACTCCTCGGGGATTTGACCCTCAACCAGGGCTCCCATCTTTCTGAATCACCTTGGAGTACCAGCCACTGAACACTCAGAAAGTGAACTAAGTCCCAAGTCCACTGCCATTTTGCTCATACCGTTACCGTTACCCTCCCTCTGACCCCAGGGAGCTATTTGCATCACAGAGGAAAACATACAGGTACCATATGGTGGTGATGGAAAGTGCTGTCAATTACCATCCGACTTATGGTGGCCCCTGGTGGGGTTTTCAAGGCAAGAGAGGTTCAGAGGTGGTTTGCCACGGCCTGCCTCTGCATAGCAACCCTGGACTTCCTTGGCGGTCTCCCATCCAAATACTAGCCAGGGCCGACCCTGATTAGCTTCCGAGAACTGATGAGCCCGGGCCAGCCTAGGCAGCTAGCCAGGTCAGGACACAGATACCACGTGGGACCTCTATATTAGGAAAACTGTGCAGGATGCATATGGGACATTTAATTCCTCCTCTTCCCCAGCACTGTGGCTACAAGATAATTTCAGGGCAGCTTTTAATTACAAGAACCACAAACGCACAACCAAAGGGAGATTTAATCACAGATCTCATTTCGTATTGTCTAGAACAAACTTTGAGTCCAGTGGCACTTTTAAGAGCAACAAGGTTTAATTCTGGGTGTAAGCTTCCATGTGCATCTGAAGAAGTGTGCATGCACATGGAAGCTTATACCCAGAATTAAACTTTGTTGGTGTTAAAGGTCCCACTGGACTCAAACTTTGTTCTGTTGCTACCCACCTGACTCTATCTTCATATTGTCTAGTTCAGGGGTGTTGAACTCATTTGTTATGAGGGCTGGATCTGACATAAATTAGACCTTGTTGGGCCGGGCCATGTGTGTCATAAAATGTAATGCCAGGTAGCGGAGATATAAACGTAATAAAGGACACAAACGGGTTTTTTACTTACAAACATGCTTAAAACATTAGCACTCCTGCGATATTTTGTTTATTTAACAGTGTCTGATAACTGACACCAGTGTTCCCTCTCAGCTGAGTTCGTGTGAGCTAGCTCACAGTTTTTTAGCCTCCAGGTCACAGATTTCTGGCATAGCTCAGGAAGGAGGGCTCCAGAGCAAACTAATTGATGCAGTCGTCCAATCGCTTGCTCACAACTTTAATGCCAGTAGCTCACAAAGTAGAAATTTTGCTCACAAGACTCCATAGCTTAGAGGGACCACTGACTGACACCTATTGCTTTGAATTATTGCATCAAAATGTATGTGCTGTTGCAATACTGAGTATGCTGTTCAGGTGTGAATCTGTAAGCTGCAAACCTACGATGACGCAGCAGCAGCAGAACTGGAAGAAGAAGCAGAAGACGGGCAGTTCCACTGCGGGCTGGACAGAAGCCCTCCGGGGGCCTCATCCGCCCCCCGGGCCGTATGTTTGACACCCCTGCTCTAATTAGACCACAGAGCGAGCGCGCGTACACACACACATCCCTTACAGAGGAGGGAATCAAACTTGGCTTGAATGATCTCAGGCACACATGTTTTCACACTTCATGTTAGGCCATGTACATCCACTACAAAGTGCAGCAGTAAACAAATGCCCGGAAACACTGAGAGGTGAAGTCAGGGTTTCCCCTCCCACTTCAACCGCCAGTCCATCCCCACTCCCTGTATTTAAATTTGTTACGGATGGCCCTATCAAGCATCCAGTGCAAGATAACATCTGTAAGAACAAGGAGCAGTACTGGCTCTGGTCCTGGGGAATTCCTTTAAAGAAGTTCTCCAATGTTCACCTTTTGGATTTTCAGGACAAAATGTTTTTATGCAGAGAATCCTCTGACAGAACAGGAATAATCATATAAAGTACTGAGGCTGATGCGTCGAAGAGTGATTACAGCTCATACTTTATTTAATAACAGGCAGATCTTGAGATACTTTAGCTGGCTCGCAGACTGGCTTATATTCCCAACTCACACCACATCCCAACACACACCCACACCCGTGATAGGTTATGTACAGTGCACCCCTGGACCCATAGGTCCTTTCTAGGACCGTAGCCTCCCGATAGGTGCGTGCTAGGATCCTTTCTGGCTATTGTCTTTGGAGACGAAGCTCGGGTCCTTCGTCTGACCACGTGTTGACCCGATCGGGTGCGCGGACTTCCCTGGGTACACAACAGATCATGTAAACTGACTTCTTCCCTTGATGCTTGTACATAATGCTGGCTACATTTGTGCATGCATTGTTACAAATGCTAGAAGCCACCTATAAATATTATAAATGATCTGTTCCCAGTTACTCTACTCATACCACCAAAAATACATTTGTCATTGGACGCTTTAATTTTTTTTAACCTATGTACCTGTTCAAAGTTATTATTAAGGTGAATTCAGTTCAAATCATCATACAGTTTTAAGAAATGAACAGACAGTAATACTTGGCTTACAAAGCCAGAGCAGTTCCCATGCTAGGAAGGAAGGGATCTGATAAAGCAGAATGGTTCAGAAGGGCATTTTGATAAAGGCAACAGGGCTGTATAATAATGGAATGGTCCAGGAAGGAGCTTTATAAAGGGAGGGGCTGTGGCTCAGTGGTAGAGCATCTGCTTGGCATGCAGAAGGTCCCAGGTTCAATCTCCGGCATCTCCAGTTAAAAGATCTGGCAGTAGGTGATGTGAAAGACCTTTCTCTGTCCAAGACCTTGGAGAGCTGTTGTTAGTCTGACTAGTCAATACTGACTTTGATGGACCAAGGGTCTGATTCTGTATAAGGCAGTTTCATGTGTTCTTGTGAACAGGACTGTGGACTATACCACTGTGTATGGTATGGATTATTTTGCTCTTATTGCATTATCTTCTTTGCATAATTCCACATTCTGCACTGTTAGACATACCATGTCTACAACTTTTCACATTGTTTTAAACTTTTGTAATCCTAGTCCTATTGCATTGCTTGTTAGACGTCTCATCCTATTGGCTGCATTTGCTTATACCGTGTAACAAATACACAAGTAAAACACCCCAACTGAGTAATGTGTCATAGCCTGCTCCATCCCAAGGGCTTGTGGCCATCAGTATGCTAATCATGCTAACTAACCCCTCCCCTCCTGTGGGGAGATCTTAGGAACACAGGCTCAGAGTTTGGCAAACACACAGCAAATATGTAACATACTTGGGGGGTGGGGGAGAGGTCAGAGAAAACCAAGGAATAACTAGACAGGTTAAGTGTTCCCAGACAACACTAATGGCAAGGGGCTATAGCAGTTGATGGAAAGGGGGGGCCATATGCAGTATGTTTACAACACCTACCTTTGTCTCTTTGATCTTCACAGCAATCACTTGCTTGCGCTGCCGGATGATCTCCATCAACTCGTCACACTCCTCCATTAGCTTGGCCTCGTGCATGGCTGTGTTCACCTGTCCAAAAACCACAGAAAACTGTAAGAGATACAACAGCATTGGTACAGCGCATCGGTACTCAAGCACTGGTGCTTAGGGGAGAATGCATGTCCCTTCTCAATGCAAGTCCAACGAGTACACATCCTTGCTTATAAACATGCAGTTTGCCCCTCTGCCTCCTAATCCAAAGTGAGGTTTGAAGAATGGAGACAATGGGACAGTTTTGTTGAAACTGTTGCACGATATTAAAGGTTGTTAAAGCAACAGTGATGGACCATTACTTGAAAATAATACCATCATGATCTGTGCAAAGATGCTTGAGATGATTGTTTTGTTTACAGAGATATTAAAAATGTAAATGTACTTCACAGTTGCCAGCAATGCTCCCTCTAAGCTGAGGAGTCTTGTGAGCAAATTCTACTTTGTGAGCTACTGGCATTAAAGTTGTGAGCAAGCAATTTGGCGAATGCATAAATTAGTTTGCTGTGGAGCCACCCTTCCTGAGCTAAGACAAAAATCTGAGCTGGAGGCTAAAAAACTGTGAGCTAGCTCACACTAACTGAGCTTAGAGGGAACACTGGTTTGCCAGCCAGCCAGAAAGCTGAAGTCTGGGACACACCAAATCAAGACACACCCAGTTACTCAAAAATGCAGAAAACGGTCATGAGTACAGCTCTCCTTTGACAAGGGAAACATGAAACATGCCCCCAAATGGTCAAAGTACCTCTACTCTTGCTTTCTTTTTTGCCATCAAGTTGCAGCTGATTTATGGAGACCCTGTAGGGTTTTCAAGGCAAGAGAAGTTCAAAAGTGGTTTGCCACTGTCTGCCTCTGTCCCAGAGAGGGACAGAGAGAAGTCAGAAAAATAAAGGAATGGAAGTAAGAACAAGTAGTAAGTAAGTTGAGATAGAAGGAAAGATTAAGGAAGGGGGAAAAGGGGAAGAATTACAGAAAAAGAGGTACAAGCTAGAGCTAAGCCTTCACGATGCTGCTACTCCCTACAGAGGCAGGAACAAAACTGGAAGGGCGGGTTATGCCGAAGGCACCCAAGGGAAGAAGAAAAAAGTATTTCCTGCCTCCCTACAGGAACGATGGGAACAACCCACAGAGATGTCCTCCGCCTCAGAGGGAGAACTGAGAAGATCAGGCTAGCTTGGGCTATCCAGTTCAGGGCTCGAAAGATGATCCTGGACAAACCATCCAAGTCAATTTGCGCACTAATACACAGTGGATAACGTTTCTGGCTGTCAGTAGATATCCCACCCACCCCAAATCTGAGGTTTGTTGACGCACGGGGGTGGAGGAAGAGTTCATTCAATCAGTATATTCTTATCCCGCCTTTCCCTCCAGGGAAGTCAAAGTCGCTTTCATGATCTCTCCCCTGCGTTTATCCTCACGACAGCCCTGCAAGGGATAGTATCTGGTTCAAGGTCATGCAGGGAACTTCATGGCACCCCAACGTGATGCTCTACCATTGAGCCACAGCCCTTCCCTAACATATACATGTTTATGTTCCCACATATGTATATGTGGCTGGTGACATTTCCAGATATGAGCTCCTGGCTGCCATGGGACATTCCCCCTCTCCATCATTGCGAGAAATATTTCAAGTGTGAAAAGGGCTTTTCCCTTAGCTGCGTGTCTCCTCCTAACCCACGGCTCATTTGGTTCTGTGTTGGCCTCTGTAGTACTTGAGAACCAACATCATGATGAAACCAGTTTCGCCAAGAACTTGTTTGAGAGTCTCTTGGAACTCATAGAATGCACACAATTACACTGGGGTGTGTGTGTAATGATGATGGTGACCTACAACAGACAAAAGACAGGGTATTAACTTTGCCATTGCCAAAATGTAAAACATTTTCACCAAAGGGTTCCAGAACCCAGGTGCTGGTGAGCTTGCAGTGTACATTCAAGCCCCTCTGGAACTGAGCTATCTTTCAAGGAAGATGCAGAAGCAGAGCTGAAGGGGCACATCCCTGGTGTGAAAGAGCTTTCCTGCCACTTGGTTTAATGTTGGCTCTCGGGCCTTTTCCCTTTAGTAAAGACTGGAGAAATGGAAGCTCACTAAGACTGGGGGGGGGGGGAGTGCATTTCATCGGCCGTGCTGGAAGGAGCAATTGACAGAGCTTAAAACGTCTAAATGAACTGGAAAACTGAAGCCTTAAGGGAGGGGGTCCTGAAATTTCTCAACTGAAAGAAAATGGCAAATCCTATTTGATATGTCCTCTAGAGGTCCTGGGGCGATGAGTGGCGTCTGGTGCAGCACGAGGAAAAGGGAGAACATTGTGCGCGAGGGGGAGGGGAGCGGGGAAGGGGAGTGTGTGCATGCATGTTGCTTGCAATGAAAAAGCCAAAGGGGCACGAACTGCAAAGGACTAAAGAGAAGGAAGAGGAGAGGCAGAGCGTGCAATGGCTGGAAGAGACATCCAAGGGAAGTGTGCTTCAGGGGTTCCATATGTCCTCAGAAAGGCCACGCTGCCTAGATTTTAAAAAGCAATTCAGTGCAAAGTTAATCTCTCATAACTCTATGTCAGGCATCCTCTCCACCACTATTCCAGCTCTCAGTTCCAGTCACAAGACTCACATACTTTAACCAAGTGGCAGGACAGCCAGTATGGTGCATTAGTTCAAGTGCTGCACTAGGACTGCGAAGACCTGGGTGCAAATTCCTGTTTTGCCATGAAACTTACTGAGTAAACTTGGGTCAGTCTCTCCTTGAACCTCCCTCACAGGGTTGCTGTGAGGATAAAATGGAAGAGGACAAAAACACTCTATGCTGCCCTGGGCTGCTTGGAAGAAGGGCGTCATAAAAATGCAATGAATACATGTATGGATGTATGGATGAGAGCCAGTTTGGTGTAGTGGTTAGGAGTGTGGACTCTAATCTGGGAGAACCAGGCTTGATTCCCCACTCCTCTACATGCAGCTGCTGGTGTGACCTTGGGTCATGTACAAGTTCTCTCAGAGCTGTTCTCTCAAAAGCAGTTCTTGAAAGAGCTCTCTCAGACCCACCTACCTCACAGGGTGTCTGTTGTGGGGAGGGGAAGGGCAAGGAGATTGTAAACTGCTCTGAGACTCCTTGGGTAGTGAAGGGTGGGGTATAAATCCAATCCCTTCTTCTTCATCACATTGTACAGCACCTAGCACACTTCTGGTGCTAAAGAAATGTCTTGTGGGAGTTAAAGCAGTGGCAAGAATTCCCCTTAGATAAGGTTGGGAGTCCCCTTGTAGAATGCACATTTCTGCACATCAGGATTCAGGAGCTAGTGTTTCCAGGTTTCAGGCCCTCCTCCCTCTCTCTCCCTTTTGGCCTTTGAAATGTGACACCAAAATTGCTGTCATAAAATTAGCAGAGATGGTCATGAGGTCTTTCTTTGTTACAATATCACCAGATCTGGGAGCTTAGTCCATTTAAGTGAACCTTGAAAATCTTTTTATTCAGATTACCTTTCGGCTGCTGAACACATCAATTAGAGCCGCAACTGCTTCTTGCCATTAAGGTTGGAAAACTGTCGGTTAATTATCCTTACTGTTTATTGTTTGCTTGTTAAAAAAATGACTTTATGATTTGTTATTTTACTGGATTGTACTGCTGCTCCCTGACTTGGGAATATTTTGCTGAAAATAGAATTAACCCTTTTTCTAAGTACGTTTTTAAAAAAAAAAAAAAATTAGTAGGTACCTGAAAATCCACAGAGAGAAAGTTTAGATTTCTGCCATGCCCTTACTACTTCAATCAACTAAAGATGAGACTAGAAAACCAGAGAAGATACTCTGCCTCCAGGCTATGTATTCTGATTGGAAGGTACATGATATTCCAATGTTGATCAAGCAGAACAATTGTGAATCTGGTCAGTGCTTGGATGGAAGACTTTCTGAAAACCCTTATTGATACCTCAAGTTTCATGACAGGCAGAAGGATATAAATAAAACAACTGAAGAAACATTTTAAAGTTTGCATCTGTTGAGATCTTATTCCCCAAGTGTATGCAACAGAGAAAAACATATACACTGGTGCGATTTCAGGCTGAATAAAAAATTTAAAAATCTACTTCACATACAAGCTTGGAGCTCCCATTGCAAGATCTGAGCTATCCAGCGATCTGAGCTACCAGAAGATCAAATTAAAGCATTCATTTTTAACAGACCTGCTAAATAGCCAGTGTCTTGTAAAGAGTGACTCTTTGATCCAGGCCACCAGGTTCTGGAGAGCTTATTAAGGCCCAAAACCTCAAAGCAAAAAGCACTGCAATATAACACCGGCTTTTTTCTCAGCTAATGAGCTTACAAAGGACAGCAGTGATGCTGCAATGTGCTAAATTAACTTGGGCAGGGGGGGGGTATGCAAAAATGTTTCGCTTTGATCTAAAACACTCAGTTCTTATTATTGTCAAATATTAATACTAGGATAAGTCAGGCAAGGTGACATTGATCATGAAAAAAGGTAATTTTAGGAGGTCACATTTCAAAGCTACAAGGGGAGGGAGGGAAGGAGGTTCTGCAGTCGAATCCCTCACTCAAAGCAGGGACCTGAGAGTTTGCGTGGATTCTGCAAACCATCTGTTCCCACAGTATCCAGCCTTTCAGCCTAAATACTGATTTTTTTAAAAATAGGTAGGACTCACATGGATGATCTTAAAAGGCAACCAGTAAGGCATAAACAAACTATACCCCTCTTGTGGTTTAAACCCAACATTGACTCTCAGTTGCTTGCATTTTTCAGGTAAAGAGGTCAAAATCGCTCCTTGTGGAAAACCAAGAAGTAATACAGCCAGATGTGTCCCGGCCAGCCTCTCTGTATCAGCCAGTGACCTGGAAAAAGAGTTATGCGGGGAGTTTGGCAGAGGAAGGGCAAGGTCTCCTTCAGAAAAGCTTGCTTGCCTGCTGAAATGTGCTCCCCGTTTCTTAAACCAAGAATATAATTTTTAAAAAGAAGGCTGCGGTTCAAATCAAACAAAGCCCTGGCCCTTAATCCTGGGTGTATGCAGCAGACCAGGGGCTGCAGCAAGAGAAGA